AATGCTGGGTAGTCATTGCATCATGAGCACGTACAGACAGTGCTGTAATACATCATGAATGAATGCTGTCTAATTCAGGGTTCCCACGGGTCCTTAAAGTTCATAAAAATCCACAAAAAAAGAAGTTGTAAAATTATATTCTTAATTGTCCTTAATTTTCAGGGAAAGCTTCTAAAATCAATAAAAAATCCTTAAAAATGTATTTTTATTCGAAAATAAATTGAAGTTTTATATTTTCTAAATTTAAAATGTTCTTAGTGTACTTTATTTGAGAATGAATTCGAGTTTTTTTTTAAATTTGTCATACAGTATGTCAAATAAAGGTTTAGCTGATTGCACCTAAAAATAAAGATGTGCCCTTCCTTTGGCAGCAATGATTTGAACACCAGCTCAGTGATATGTGGCTTTCTGTTCAGCCCGCATAATGCTGAGCGGGCATTAAATCCACCATGAATCCCCTGCTGAATGCAGAAAAGGTCCTTAAAAATGTCTAAATTACCCCTCAAAAGTCCTTAAAAGGTCCATAAATAAAAAGCAAGTGGAAGAGTGTGAACCCTGTAATTGCATTCATGCCTAGCAAATACTTGCACACCATATTTATCACTCCCCCCCCCCCTGGTTTCTTGATGGGCCTCAACTGGGGCACATTCAGCCAGTTAAGAACATTTCAAAATAATGTGGGTTTTTTTTCTAAGTCAGCAATACGTACTTGGGGAAATGACAGAAAGATTGCGTCACAATCTTTTTAGATTTATATTCATGGACTTCCACTAAGGTTAAAAAAAAAAAAAAAAAAAAAAAAACCAACAAACAATCCGGGGGCAAACAATCCGTCGAGATTTGTATTCTACTCATTAATTACGCGGTACTGGCAACCTGAGAAACTGCGTTCTTTTTGACACATTTGAGCTGCTTTGCTGCATTTTTTTTTAAAGTACTGGTCCGTGAAAATGATGGTAGAGAGTCATTTTTGCCAGCAAAAAAAAATGAATTTGCGATTGGAAGCGGTAGTTGGGTCAAAGAAGTGTTCATATCACTCGCTAAAATCTAATGTTAGCTTATCTGTCTCTTGGTTTTGTGAGGACCAATGAAGTTAGACGTTGTATACATGCCGTGGGGTGCAAATTATGCGCTATGCCATTGTATTTTTGTCAACATCATCGACAAAATAATCCATTAATTCAATTTAATAATCCTTGCAGTTGCACCAGTGTGGTGTTTATGTCACCACGAAATAACGCTGTTGTCAGGCACTCTTTTTTTTTTTTTTCCTTTCTTCTAAAAAGGCCAACTGTGTCAAAATCCAGATTTCAAACTACAATCAAGACGACTTGTCAAGTGATGTAGTTCAAGTAATTCTCGATTTTGGCAAGCAAATCGAGTCCCAACTCGAGTCGAGTCCCCATCTCTTGGTCGCAAACAGGTTTTGAGACCATTAATATTGTTAAATGTCTTTGCGACCTTGAACGAACCTTGAAGAACATTCGCCGCGGGCACACACATTTGCAAACCTTCGCCGCACAGTGAGATCCAGCCTTAAGGAATCAGCAAGTTGCCAGACCATTTTAGCAGCCATTTCTGATGTTGTAAAAGTGGTATTTGACAGTTGAGTGGGGTGCGGTTTCAGCGCATTCAGTCGACTCACCCAGAGAGCGGACACGATGGTATTGTTCTTCATGATTTTGAAACCACATTTGACATACTTAATTCTCATTTTTGTTGGCAACTCTCTGTGGTGTGTCAAATGTGCAACACATTTGTTTGCTTCACAAGGACTATATTCTTTTTAAAGAAAAATAGTCAAATTGACTGAACTGTCTTGATTTTGTGGACAATCACAACCACTCTGCCAACTCCATGGAATAATTTGTGGCTATTTGTTTCATTTTGTTTCGTTACCCTCCCAGAAAGTTGAAGGCTTTCTAGAGGTCATCCTTCCTTGCTGACACAACACGTTCCATTGTCAGGATTGCAATGCTATTTAAATGCAATCAACACCGACTTACTGTGGTAAAATCCAAATATTATCCCCCATTTTTTTTTTTTTTTTTGCATGGTGCAAAAGTATAATAGACTGTAAAGTGAATATTATTCTTAAGCAGATATCCAAACATTTTAGCTTCAAATGCCCGGTTGAGAAAATGACAGTGGGGAAAATAAATGTGGTTGAGCAGGGTCACTGACTGAACAATTACACTGTTTTTTCGAGGCTTAAAGTACTGTTTCCTGCATGGGGAAGTATGTTATTATCAGTTATTTTACAAGCCAAAGGACATTGTGTATCCACTCACTGGGAAGCCTGGCTGCCAAGTGGTTAAAAAGACTATTTCTCCACTTGAAGATCCAGTGCATGTACTGTATTGAGTGCGGTTTTGGTTCATAGTAACTGAAGGACCTTCTATTAGAAATTACAATACCATAATGTACCAAATCTTATTGTTGTAAAGCAGGCTTAAAGATCACTTTTTGCTTTAAACAATTTCCAAGTGTCATGTAACGTCTCATATCTGTGACATGCGTTGTAAAATGCACCAAGAATGACGAATTACACCCATATATATTGTATTGCTGAGAGTACCGTATTTTCCACACTATAAGGTGCTTCGGAGTATAAGGTGCCTTTTCAATGAATGGCCTATTTTTTAACTGTTTTCATATACAGGGTGCACCGCATTATAAGGCGCATAGAAGCTACAATAGTGGTTGCAGTTGCGTTATGCATTCACTCGATGGAACTATGCTAAAGGGAATATAATACAATACAGTTTTATTGATATAGCACTTTCACAACCGATGCAGCTGTATCAAAGCACTTTACAGAACATTTAAAATACAACGTCCAGAAATCAGAATATTGATCCATATATTAGGCATATCGGATTATAAGGCGCACTGGCGCCTTTTGAGAAAATTGAATGCTTTTAGGTGCGCCTTACGGTGTGGAAAATACGAGAAGCTCCTTTTCATACCCCATTATTGCACCCACCTGTTCCCAGGTGTGCCTGTTCTTCTGTGGGATGTGCCATACAGGGGACGATAGTCACTTTGCATCACTGCCCTCGTTCCATTCCGTGTTCCTACTGCCATAGATATGAATCTACTTGACAATTGGATTATCCGATGATAGCGCCATGAGGCTAACCCCAATTCATGCCATTTTTTGATTTTGAGAGACTTTTCCTACTGCTGTGTGCCAGTCACATTTTCTTTTCGCATCATCACTACATCCTGTACTCGCCAGTGTTGTTCCGGTGGCAAGCCTTTCGATCTGAAGGGTGGAGCAGATGTGTGTCAGCAACAAAAATACAAACAAAAAAACCAAAACAAAAAACAACAAAATAACAAACCAACTGTATATTCATTAGCCTTCACAATTGTGCAAGTGAAAGATTTACTTTGAATGAGTTTTAGTTCTGGTTGCTTCCATCTCATGCGAGAATTTATCCAGCATGACAAATCTCCAATAATTGTTATAGAAATAAAGCATAGAACGCACCATCAAGTAAATACAGTAATGCCAAACTCAGTAGTCAGTGTCAATAAAACAGCCACTCTCTCAGAAACCGCAAAGTTGATGTGACTTCTCAGGATTTATCTGTGTCTTCTTGCGTGTGTAGGCACGTTTTGTTTTGTTTTGGGTTTTGTTTTTCCTTGCAGACACAAAAGATTAACTGTTAGTAAATGTTAGACCAGTGTGTATTTATAACCACTGGGAGTCAGGGAGAAATACTGGTATTCCCACTTGTTAACGCTCTTTGTGTTCTTTTTTGTCTAAGCCTATTCTCCTCCTTCCCAGTGATAACTGCCCTATTTCTCATTAGGCATTACCATGAAGTGTGTGTGTGTGTGTGTGTGTGTGTGTGTGTGTGTGTGTGTGTGTGTGTGTGTGTGTGTGTGTGTGTGTGTGTGTGTTAACGAAAGGATTTCTTTCATTCCAATCCTGGCCTGTATTCAGGCTGTGTACCTTGGCACCTCCTCTGATGAAGGATTGACACTGCAGCACTCACTGTGTCACATGACTGCAAAGAGCTACTTTAGATTCTGTTCTAATCTACCATGGCAATGAGTGGTATTTACTTCACACACTGCAGGTTGACATTTCACTACCAACCGCAGCAGCACATCGATGATGTCACAATGAATTTCTTCAAGGCGTGTGTGTTTGTGCGTATGTGTGTCTTTGCGAACCCCCCACACCCCCTTCCAGTATTTTCCCAAGCTGTTCCCTTCCTGGATCCTGTTTTCAGTGCCAGATGAGGCAATCGTTCCCATTGACTCAACCCTGCAATGCAAATATGCCCAACAGCATGCAAAGAACATGGAAATATGTGTGAGTCTACGTCAGGGCCAGACAGCCAAAAGAGTGAAAAAAGGGTTGTCGAAATGACACCGATGAGACGTTGCACTCTCAAAGTCAGCAGACATTTTAAATTATAGTGCAATCTCGACGGTTGAGCACAGTGCCTCGCAGAGTCAGTCTTTTGATTTTCTAAATTTAAGTCTAGCGTGTAATGCTGTGCTTTGGCAGCGGTTTTGTGCAATTAAAGTTGTGCTTTCAGGGAATTTTGAATGGGACTGGTAAGCTTTATGGTTGATGCAGATGGTGATAGAAAACAAATAATGTTTGTAGAAATAACTTTCTGTTGCCGCGAGGATTAATGTTCAAATGACAGTGGTTTTATTATCCGATCCGAAGTCGTATGTTTTGTGCAAATGTGTTGGCGGCATCTTCTCATTCAGGCACATTAAAGGCTTAAGAACTGGGCTCAGATAATATACACAAAGTGTAATAATGTCCTGTTTTTATCGCCATCTGTTTGTTTCTTTGCTTTGTTTGTGAGTGAATTTAATTAATTTACTGGAAACTTGGTGGAGCAGTGGAAACAAACGTTCTGTTGCCAATGTGATTGATATCATCGTTGTTTTGGTCCACTTTAGGATGGAGCGAATAAAGTGCGAAAGATACTATGAATTGTTGCGTCTCCTTTCCTGCCTTGCAGATTCCTGTGTGTTGTGCGTCACTTTGTTTCCCATGGATCTCAGGGTGGGAGAGCGGGGGATGCGCCCTGGCTCCGACACGGCACTCCTTACGCCATTGCACCCGCCGTTGCTTCTCAGTCCTTTTCCCCCGCAGTCCCGCACGTCCTTCTCCCAACAGCAGCTTCAACAGCACATACGGGTACAAAGAATCAATGCTTTTTTTAATACCTATTGTAAATCTTTTTTTTTTTTTTTTTTTTTGGGTGAATTGATACCAAATTTCCTCAAATAGTGGCCCCTTCTCGAATGGGCGCTGTGTGTCAATTTCTCCAGATATAAATTCATTTGTTTGTTAATCAAAAGTATGGAGTAATCTGCACACTCTAAGGGAGGATCATAAAATGATGAAACCTATGCCGTTTTTTTAAAATTCTATAAACGTGTTTGTAGTAGGCGTTAAACCGATGAATTGATGAGTCGACTATTCTAAAGCTACATTTAAAGCTTGAGATATCGTCATGGTTTGTGCATCTTGTCTTTGAAACCAACTTTCAACCCGCCCGTTTGCCACCATTGCCAGACTTCTGAGTTTGATACGTCTGACCGACAAGTGTTCCATACATCTACGCGGATTCGTGAAACCAAAAATTGGCCGCTTGTGAGTGAGCATAGTGGTTTGCCGCACCAGCTAGGAGGATCGTTACTCGTTTTTTGGTATTTCCTCCAGCGGGACTGGTGATGAGGGACGATAGTCAGAGCCCATCTTTGTCGCCTAAATGGTTTGTCCATGAGAACTTTATTCTGATCACAACACAGTACGCTTTACAATACTGTGTCATAACATTTGTCACAGTACAACTACTGTCGTGGACAACAAAAAGTCTTTGTCAACACCTAGTTTACACAAATACAGGCCTCGCTCCTAATAGAAACTCCGCCAATCTATGGTTGAATGAATAAATGCCACTTGTGAGGAAATATGGTGTTGTAATTTTAAATTCCGTCGTATTCTATCTTTATTTCAGTTCATTGAAATATTTTGGAAATCATATATTTTATTCCAAAACAGCACCATGTTTATTTTAAAAGTGAAATGAAAATGTTTGAACGTTTAGTTTAATATGGAGCAGCGGAGACGTGAACAGGAACACCACGAGAAGCAACAAGAATTGCAGCAGCTCAAAAACAAGGACAAGAGTCAACAAAGTGAGTCTGTTATTCAAAAGCTACGCGCGCGCATGCACACACACGCACGCACACACACACACACACACACACACACACACACACACACATTTTATTGAACCATTTTCCTCTGTTTCACAAGGCTGTTTGCTTTTAGTTAAATATAACCTGACTGGTGGAGCTACAACAGCGGAGTTAAATATAGCTTTGAATATTGGCACAAGTCATTGGGTCAATATTGACTTGAACACCTTCTGTCACCTCTTTGTACACACATGCACCAATATACACACACAAAACAAGTGACCTAACCATGCATCAGACTTCGGGGCACCATATTCACGAAAAGTCGATACAGAATTATTAGGAGCCATTTTTACATATTTAACTAGTAACCATTTCTAAGGTATATTATGAAGCATCTTCTGTTTTGTTTCATGAAAATGTCTGACTTTTTCTTTCGAATGCCTTTTTGTTGGGTTGAACGGACAGGTGCAGTGGCCAGTTCACTGGTTAAACAGAAACTCCAGGAAGTCATCTTGAAGAAGCAGAAGCAAGCGGCACTGGAAAGAACAAATTCCAACACTTTGACTTCTACGCCAGTGACATACAGGTGACATAAGATGCATGCACGAGTTGGCAGTGCATTATCTGCGTAACGCATGTTCTATATATATTCAAATTAGAATTCATTATTATTATTATTATTATTTTTAAGGATCGACAGTAATATTTGCAAGCAGGCTTTGCTGCAAATCAAACTGATCTACAGATATTTAAAATAATTCTCATTTATAATTGGAGACATGCTAGGAATGTTATGTCTTAGGGCTGTCACTAAATGAATCTTTTTGGAATCGATTATCCTATCCTACTATTCCATTGATTATCACCACAATGAGTGATAAAACACTTACATTTGCCAAGCTGATGTATATTAAGACTATACTCACTTAAAAATAAACAATATTTTCTTATAAGATAGGGCCTGGTGTCGTGCTCTTGCCGGGCCAAGTGCCCCTCGCTGCCATTTCGGCTGCTCCAATGGCCAGCTGGCAGTGGACATGAAGATTTAAAGAAATTTAAAATAAAATATCCTCCCACGAATGTCACACTGGCCTGTTCTTTATTTTTCGTTCACAGTTCCCAAAATAATCACCTTACACTCACACCCGATCACTGCTTAGCGATGTATTGGTAGAGCAAGCTACGCTAAGCTAGCTGGAGAAGCTAAAACATGCAACGTGACAAGTTTAACCGGTCACAATAATTTAGCGGAAGGCGCTTTGCTCCCATGAACTAGTGATGGGACGTGCTGTGACGAGGCTGAAGCTTGTTCAATACTAGTTTGCTTTAAAATAATCAAAGCTGAGTTTTTATTCCCTCTAGTTGGTTTGCGCCTGCCTTGTCGTCACATGTACGTGTTCCCATTTTCAAGGTCCACCAGCGTCGCTTTGTAGCAGTTACATACAACTCAATTTTTGTTCATTTTTCATGTAAAGCAGCCTCAAACCTTGGGCATCTTTTCAATTTTTGAGTATTGCTCAATGGGACCGTCCATCAGCAACAAATATTCGTGCGTGGCCAAATGTTGGTTCCTGGTGTCATAAATGGGGTTTTAAAATTAGCAATTATAGTTTTCAGTAATTACTGTGTCGGGCAAATTTTGTGGTTGATTTAGCCAAATTAGCGGGGGGGGGGGGGGGGGTGTCAAGTTGGGGGGGGGGGGGGGGGTTCTTTGTTTTTCTTTCTCCCAGCCCTAGTATCTCTTTTAGCAGTTGATCTTCATCACAAAAATGGTGTACTGTTTTTTTATGTCCCTAAATTGTAAAAATTAAAAAAAGTGTATCCATATCACGACTTATTCTGGACCCTATAACACAAACGCATTGTCGTCAGTTTGTCACACTTTGAGGCAGTCGACTTCCATTACGGATAACCCACTTCAAGGTCAAATGGTTGAATGTGGATTTGTGCTGTGTGTTCTCAGTAAACTGGCTCCGGACCAGAATGTTTCCTCCCAGCCCCTGGTTTCATCTCCTTCTCTGCCTTCCCCAGAGGGTTCAGAAGGGACACGTCTACGCAGGGCAGGTAAAATACACAATAACTCAGGATGTTGTTATAATGTCAGTGGATTCTGAAGGTCTGATATATGAAATATATCAGTTGGAACGAAGGGCAGCACAGATGACTCGTGGTTAACATCTGCCTCCCAGTTCTGAGGTTTGAGGTTGAAATTTCAGCTAAGGCCTTCATGTGTGGAGTTTGTATTTTCACACTCTGCTTGCATGGCTTTTCTTCCGGGTAGTCCAGCTTCTTCCCACAAAAAGTCGATACAGAATTATTAGGAGCCATTTTTACATATTTAACTAGTAACCATTTCTAAGGTATATTATGAAGCATCTTCTGTTTTGTTTCATGAAAATGTCTGACTTTTTCTTTCGAATGCCTTTTTGTTGGGTTGAACGGACAGGTGCAGTGGCCAGTTCACTGGTTAAACAGAAACTCCAGGAAGTCATCTTGAAGAAGCAGAAGCAAGCGGCACTGGAAAGAACAAATTCCAACACTTTGACTTCTACGCCAGTGACATACAGGTGACATAAGATGCATGCACGAGTTGGCAGTGCATTATCTGCGTAACGCATGTTCTATATATATTCAAATTAGAATTCATTATTATTATTATTATTATTTTTAAGGATCGACAGTAATATTTGCAAGCAGGCTTTGCTGCAAATCAAACTGATCTACAGATATTTAAAATAATTCTCATTTATAATTGGAGACATGCTAGGAATGTTATGTCTTAGGGCTGTCACTAAATGAATCTTTTTGGAATCGATTATCCTATCCTACTATTCCATTGATTATCACCACAATGAGTGATAAAACACTTACATTTGCCAAGCTGATGTATATTAAGACTATACTCACTTAAAAATAAACAATATTTTCTTATAAGATAGGGCCTGGTGTCGTGCTCTTGCCGGGCCAAGTGCCCCTCGCTGCCATTTCGGCTGCTCCAATGGCCAGCTGGCAGTGGACATGAAGATTTAAAGAAATTTAAAATAAAATATCCTCCCACGAATGTCACACTGGCCTGTTCTTTATTTTTCGTTCACAGTTCCCAAAATAATCACCTTACACTCACACCCGATCACTGCTTAGCGATGTATTGGTAGAGCAAGCTACGCTAAGCTAGCTGGAGAAGCTAAAACATGCAACGTGACAAGTTTAACCGGTCACAATAATTTAGCGGAAGGCGCTTTGCTCCCATGAACTAGTGATGGGACGTGCTGTGACGAGGCTGAAGCTTGTTCAATACTAGTTTGCTTTAAAATAATCAAAGCTGAGTTTTTATTCCCTCTAGTTGGTTTGCGCCTGCCTTGTCGTCACATGTACGTGTTCCCATTTTCAAGGTCCACCAGCGTCGCTTTGTAGCAGTTACATACAACTCAATTTTTGTTCATTTTTCATGTAAAGCAGCCTCAAACCTTGGGCATCTTTTCAATTTTTGAGTATTGCTCAATGGGACCGTCCTGGGGGGGGGGGGGGGGGTTCTTTGTTTTTCTTTCTCCCAGCCCTAGTATCTCTTTTAGCAGTTGATCTTCATCACAAAAATGGTGTACTGTTTTTTTATGTCCCTAAATTGTAAAAATTAAAAAAAGTGTATCCATATCACGACTTATTCTGGACCCTATAACACAAACGCATTGTCGTCAGTTTGTCACACTTTGAGGCAGTCGACTTCCATTACGGATAACCCACTTCAAGGTCAAATGGTTGAATGTGGATTTGTGCTGTGTGTTCTCAGTAAACTGGCTCCGGACCAGAATGTTTCCTCCCAGCCCCTGGTTTCATCTCCTTCTCTGCCTTCCCCAGAGGGTTCAGAAGGGACACGTCTACGCAGGGCAGGTAAAATACACAATAACTCAGGATGTTGTTATAATGTCAGTGGATTCTGAAGGTCTGATATATGAAATATATCAGTTGGAACGAAGGGCAGCACAGATGACTCGTGGTTAACATCTGCCTCCCAGTTCTGAGGTTTGAGGTTGAAATTTCAGCTAAGGCCTTCATGTGTGGAGTTTGTATTTTCACACTCTGCTTGCATGGCTTTTCTTCCGGGTAGTCCAGCTTCTTCCCACACTCCAACAATATGCATCTGAGGTCATTCCAAGACTGTAAATTGTCCATAGATGTGAATGTGAGTGTGAATGGTCGCTTGCCAATGCAGTATGAGCCCTACAGTTGACTGGTAATCATTCCAGCGTGTACCCTGCCTAGTGCGCAAAGTCAGCTGGAATACATTCAGGCTCCCCTGCGACAACAATGAGGACATGCGTTACAAAAAAATGAATGGATATCTAAAGTAAATTTGACTCAGTAACTATATTGACAAGGGAGTGAAAGTAAATGGACCTTATTAAAAAACAACAAATACGACTTCGGCAAAAAGTTATGAAAATCACTGTATCAGCCAGTGATAGTTTCTACTTGCTTCACCATTTTGTAGAAATGCTCAATAAATTATTATTTCGGAAAATAAGTAAACGATCTGCGATTGGGTTGTGTTTGTGTAGCATCCGTGTAGCATCTTTATGTGACACGACTGTATCAATGAATCACCTCAAGTAAATCTCATCACTTCTTTTTTTATTTATTTATTTTTATCAAGCATCTGAGCCCAATTTAAAAGTGAAACACAAGCTGAAGAAACATCTCAACACCCGCCAGAGCCCGCTCACCCGCAAAGAGAGCGCGCCACCCACCATCAGACACAGAGTACCTGATACACTGGGTAAATCCTTGATTTGATATCAAAACAAACTTTTCCAATGCCATGATTACAAATGAGTCTGACTTTTTTTTTTCTCCCCCCATGTGGGGTCTCAGCAGACTCATCTCCCAGCAGCAGCAGCACTCCAGTCTCTGGCTGTAGTTCCCCCAATGACAGTCTTCCCAGTGAAAATGGGATAGTGCCATCTGCAGGTGGCCTCTCGCATGAGGTGAACAAATGTACACAAATATTATAGACACACAGTTAAGGAGACAGAGAGCTCATTATTCTTACATCGTTTGTAAATCAACTCGACACCAGCGAATGTTAATTACAACTGATGTCGCGGTCAAATCACGTAATTGGAAATCGGGGCCAGTCTCGTGATTTTCACCGGTTACGTATTGGATGAAAAAGATCGGTTGTATTCATTTTCTGAACATTTAAAGGCCACAAAGCTACAAAATAAGTAACATGTCTTGCCAACTAGAATCATCGTAGTTTAGTTTTAAATTAGACAATGTTTTATTTTATTTTATTTTATTTTATTTTATTTTATTTTATTTTATTTTATTTATTTATTTATTTATTTATTTAAGTAGTTGTGTAGTGACAGCCCGGTCGGTGCTTGAGTGGTTCGTGCGTCGACCTCACAGTGGAGAGGTCGTGGGTTCGATCCTGGCTCCTGCCTCCCTGTGTGGAGTTTGCATGTTCTCCCCGTGCCTGTGTGGGTTTTCTACAGGTACTGCAGTTTCCTCCCACATTCCAAAAATATGCATGGCAGGCTGATTGCACACTCGAAATTGTCCTTAGGTATGAGTGTGAACGTAGATGGTTGTTCGTCTGTGTGTGCACTGCGATTGGCTGCCAACTGGTTCAGGGTGTCCCCCGCCTACTGCCCGAAGAAAGCTAGGATAGGCTCCGGCATGCCACACCACCCTTGTGAGGATAAAGCGGATCAGAAAATGGATGGATGGATGGATAGTTGTGTCGTTTGTGGCGCGCGCGCACACACACACACACACACACACACACACACACACACACACACACACACACACACACACACACACAGAGCTGTGCTGCAGGCAGACAGAACAGTGGGTTTGTCTTCAAAGATTTTTATTTGATTTTTTTTTTTGAAGGAAAGGCAAGTTAAAGGCACTCCTAAATAAGTCTGTCTTGCCTGAGAAAACGAAGCCTCCTCGCTCAACGCCATTGTCAAAGAGTTGCGAGAGCGACAGACAGGTTGGCATTTGTGACACATTCAAGGGAATTCACTTCAAACACAAGTTCAAATTGGAGTGTAAATATACGAGCGTAAATATCTGGTTGTTCCCCACTGGTTTGTTTTAAATCACACATGTACCCAACAACTGAAGTGTGCTCTTCGTTTTAGCCAAACGATGTCAATGTGTTGTTTACCACTGAACAAATCAAATGCAGTCATACTGAGAATTCCCTCATTCTGTGTTAAAGTTCAACCAAATTGATGCCATATGCGTCCCTGCGCAATGATATGAAAATACATGTTTTAGGTATGGCAGATTGATACAGTATTGCGTTTAACGTTAACATTCAATTCGTGTCAATGTCATGGTTTCTGTGTTTGCTGATTTTATGCTAACAAGCAGCAAAGAGTTTTTGTGTATAACAAGGTGAAAAAAACAACTTCTGAGATGGCCCAATACGCATTTTCTGTATCATCAAATTTAGTGCTGAAAAAAATGTTTGATGAATGAGTTTCTTTTGAGAGTTTTACAACAAACCAATTTGGCATTGATATAGTGGAGTGGTCCATTTAATATAAATATATCTAACCGATATACACTTGGATGTTTATACAATGTTTATTTGCATATTTCCATATTAATTTGAGAAAAATTGGATGCATGCTCTTTTTTTCATAATAAAGGTATCACATCGGATGCCAGCAAAGCATGATTGCGATATCCCAATTATTCAAACTGTATTTTATTTTTAATGACAATCATTCAATTTCTTCTTCAATTTTTGTGAGAACAGGCGAACTGAAAGGCCTTATCATGCCCTATTTTGGAAAGTGGTTCACTAAACCACTACATCAATGCCTGATGAATCGATCACACTTTTGACCTCCTCCGGGAAGTGTAATTTGTCTTATGTCATGGAAAATTAAGCAGGTTTCAAACAAGCAGACATATTATAAGACAAGTCAACCCTTGTGCTTGAAGTGTGGCCAGACGCTGAGTAATGACATGATTAATGCAGAGGCACACAAGCCTGCTGGAGTGCCGTGTGTGTCAGCTGTTTATACATAATTGATTTAATCACGGAAAAGTTAAAAACATTGCAACCGGTGTCACACCTGCTGCGTTTGTGTGATTCATGACATTTAATGTGTTTAATTATGTCCTTACATTGCTCGAAAGCTACACTTTGTGAAGGGCAATTTACAAAGTTTGAAAATTGGGAGTTACATTCACGACTATTTGAGTTCTGTTTCCCTAACTGTCATTTTCTGGTTTAAATGTTGGCTTTTATATTCCATTGCATGTGTATTATTTTTCTGGGGGGGAAAAGAATAATCCACCATATTTGGCATTTACAGGCACAGAAGCTGCTGCTCAGAGATGGCACTCTGGCAAACTTTACTATCCAGAGTCCTTCCACTCTGCCCACCATTACGCTGGGACTACCAGCCAATGCCAGGGTAAGCTTGGCACTCAAACTAATAATATTTATGACATCTCCGAAACAGGAAGGCCACAAATGTATTGGCAAATGTATTTTATGTCGTAATTTATTCAATACACTTCGTCTGTCATTGTACTTCAAATATTTGGAAACTATTTTTATGACACTTCGTCATCATTGATTGTATTTAAATTCTGGATAATTGTAGGAGAGGTATCAGATGTCAATTTTATACATTCAGTCAGACTGTGCAAAAGTCAAGTGCCATCATTAGATTTGTTGTTTGTTTGTTTGTTATGTTATGTGTTGTGTTTATTGTTTTACTTAGTTAACTGTTTTGTTAAGCGCTTTATAAATCAGGATGTATGTATGTATGTACTGTATGTATGTATGCATGTATCTAAATCTACGTGTAAGAAATGAACATAACACAACACATATTTCTATTATACAGGTTGAAGGTGATTTGTCCTCCCTGAAGTTTGGTCGAGGGCCCTTGGTCACAGCCGGGGCCCCGCAGGTCTTATTGCCGCTGAGTAGAGAGGATCAAGCGGGGCAGCTGAGCTCACAACTTCCTGTTATCATCCTGGAGCCGTCTGGACTAATACACGCTCCCCTGGTCACTGGTAAGACACACCGAGTTACCGTATTTATAAGGTGTAACTAAAAGCATTCAATTTTCCCAAAAGTAGACAGTGCGCCCTAGAATCCAATGCGCCTTGTGTATGGTGTTACACAGTCTCTTTATACTTCCCATTGAGTTGTTTTGCTGTTAGTATTTCTCTGCCATCTAGTGGTGATTATTAGCAGGAACCAATTCTCACCTAAAAGGGTTTTGCCCGACATTGACATGTGCATTCGCCAACACACACTCCAACCAACAGACAACTACTTTGTGAGCTCTGGCAGCCATTATGAAATGACGATAACACCAAGAGCATAGTTAACTACTGACTAAACGAAGGAAGGAGGAGACAAGCAAGACTTTTAAGGATATTTAGCCCCTTGTGCATGTGAGCCCATGAGGTTTGTGTGTTTGAGTGCCCTTTTGTTGAATCAGTTGTCTTCATAACTTTTATCTTTAATTGTTTTGTTATGCCATTTGTATTTATATATTTCATGTCCGTGTTTGTGAGCAGTTCTCATGGCTTTATTAGTTGTGAAAGCTCCATATAAATAAAGCTTTTGTATTGTATTGTATTCCCTTTGGCGTAGCTCCATCTAGTGAATGCGTAGCACAACCGCAGCCAGTATTGTAGCTTCAAAATCAAAACATTTCTCTTGTAATACTTAGTGACACCCCTTACCGTCTGTCCGTCTGTCTCAAACCAGTTCCAGGACTCGACTCAGTCCCGCTGCAGTTTTCCTCCCACTTGGATCAACTGTCTCCGGGGGGCGCACAGGCCCACAAGCCCCTTAGTAGAACACGTTCAGAACCCCTCCCGCAGAGCCCCAGGATGCTTCACTCACAACTCCTTCAACAGCACCACAACACACAACTACTAGAGCGATTAAAACAGCAGACTCACCTCGGCAAGGTAGGCAGGCTCTTGACACTTTTTGGAACTGTCGCTGTATTGAACCAAATAGTGGAATCACATTAAAGGTAGTTTACGTGAAGTATTGCAGGTCAGTTTAGCCTTTCGTCAAAAAACTTAAGAATATGAAATCGGTATAGTCAATCAAAGTGGGGGACATCCAAAATATGTGATTATTACAAATGGCACTGCTTGCTTAAGAAAATGTAGCCTTTTTCTCTTCTTCTTCCGTTCCCAAAGGTGATGATTGTCTTGGCAACAATGTGTTTAGCGTCACCCAATGGCTTGTAGGTATTTGAGACAAGGGTGCCAAATAATGGCTTCATACATAGCATAACAAACTTTAAGATAAGAAATCCTTTATTAGTCTCGCAATACGGAACCAAACCTCAGCTAGTTTGTCGGTGCAACTTTGGAGAAGTCAATTAATTGTGGTTTGAAGAAAGCTGATCTATGTTGCAATAGTAGGAGCCGAAGACGGTGTAAATAATTCATAAATGTGGCGGGGCAATTGCATTTATTGCCAAATGTCCATCTTGGATACCAGTTGAATTCTGGTTACGTGCGGAATCACCTTTTAGCTGTTACATTCCAACCATGAGCACAATGAATTTGAACCCCCACTTATATTTAACAAGTCATTAACTATTTGAACATGTTCAACGGTGCACTCTATGTTCATGGCTGCCGAATTCACAATCATGTGATTCAACTCGAAATCATATGACACTTTTTTTTCTTCATGATTTCCAATTACAAACAAAACATAACTAATTTCACCAGTGTGTTTTTGTTTATTGTGTGTGTGTGTGTGTGTGTGTGTGTGTGTGTGTGCGTGCGTGTGTGTGTGTGTGTGTGTGTGTGTGTGTGTGTGTGTGTGTGTGTGTGTGTGTGTGTGTGTGTGTATGTACACAGCTCATGTCCAAGTCCAGTGAGAAGCCCAGACTTCATCAGATCCCTTCAGAGGACATGGACTCAGAGGACGGCGGGGGAACATCGCCATCAGAGCCAGCCTACCAGAGCAGACTGAGGCCAGATTCTCTGAGGGAGGCTGAGCCAGCAACATCCAGTAGTCAAGAACAGATCAACCTACAGCATGCACTCATACTCAACCAGGTAGGTGTGCTGAATTTCTCATATCACAAGTTAGGAAAAAGGATAAATAAAATACCGCAGCTAATCTGAAGCAGCTATTCAGCCGACTACTGTCCTCTAGATGGCATGATTATCCGCCTTCGGATGGTTTAGATTCACCAGTGGCGGTGGAACGGGGTTTCATTTGGAACCAATATTAATTGTAATAATTTTAAAGGGTGGATGTCACCTTTCAAAGCAACAATTTAAGTCAGTACATTTGATTGAATCAGCCATGACAGTCAGGAGTCGAACTTTTACCATTTTAAAACTTTTGAATAAATCACTGTTAACCTTTGGAAGTCAAGTACAGTTTATTTGTGAACGCTAAAGTTAGACCGGTCGCTGTATGAAACTTAAAAAGCAATACAACTGTGAGCTATGATAAATCACATTTCATTTCATTTTGGCAATTCCATTTTAGATCGATCATTGTCATCACCCTTTGTTTTGGTCTTATCGTCATGGATACCCTTGTGAAAAGGAGAGCATTCAACAGAACAAAACAAAACTCAAAAGTACAAACTGAGCGGCTCGGGAAGTCTCAAATTGCTTTGTTGAAATCTTGTTTTGTTTGCATTCTTGATTTTTAGCTGACTTCCAGACTATCTTTTTTTTTTTTAACTACTCTTATTTGTGAACAATTAAAGAGTTCCAATGGTCCCCAGTATTCCTGATTTTCTTCTTTTTGTCCTTCTCATCTCCGGTATATCTTGTCATGGCTTGACCTCTTTTCTGTTTTCTAGTCCTTACTGTGGGAACAGCAGAAGCAGCTGCAGCAGTTGCATCGACAGATGGAGACCCTGGCGGTCCCGATGTTACGTAGCGGTGGAGGCGGCGCGATCTGCGGCGCGTTGGGTGTGCATCGGCCCCTCTCTCGTACGCAGTCCTCCCCGGCCTCCACGTCTCTCGCTTTGTCCGAAAAACCTCTGAGCCTGAGCGGGCAGGAGACCAGCAGCAAATCACGCTTCACCACTGGTCAGTGCCACATTAGGGCTTCTCTTTGTGCGAGCGTGCCTGCTCTTTAACCCTTTCCTACCACCCTGTAACCCTGATAACATGATAAGCTGTCCACTGTAGTAACCGCTGTCCCTGAAAAGGGTTAATTTGATCTTACCGTCATTTCAACCAAAGCCTCATTGAAAATTGCAACCTGATGAAAGAGATTCGGTGATCACTGAGACCATCTTTCGGGAAATCTTCATCTGAGGTTATTTTGCCTGTGCAGGCCTGGTGTATGATTCTCAGATGCTGAAGCACCAGTGTACCTGTGGAGACAACAGCAGTCACCCAGAGCATGCTGGGAGAATACAGAGCATCTGGTCCCGACTGCAGGAGAGGGGCCTGAGGGGGCAGTGTGAGGTATGACACAAGACGCACCCAATTGGTCCTTTTTTTTTTAGGTTCAAACCTAAGGGCTATCAGATTGTTTGTTTTCCCCCAGAGATTGAATAATATATCGAAGCATGCATGTGTCCAAGTCCAGTTATTATTCCACGGAGGCTCCCTCATAGTTCAAGCACCAAATTAGCATTCTTAAATCCGATGAGCCACCCTCCTTTTGTTGTCACAGAGCATTCGTGGTCGTAAGGCAACTTTGGAAGAGCTGCAGTCCGTCCATACAGAGCGCCATGTTTTGCTCTACGGCACCAACCCGCTCAACAGGCTCAAACTGGACAACCGCAAACTGGCAGGTGCGTTACAACTTACACATCCGTCTCCTGCTTTTCTGCACCACTTTTCTTCATTAATGTTGGAGGAGAGCTGGTGCCCATTGCAGTCGATTTTGGGTGAGAGCAACACCCCGAACTGGTCGGTAACCAATATGCCCGGACTCGGATAGATGAACAACCTTTCACGCTCACACTGTCGGACAATTAAGAGTCTTCAGTTAATCAAAGAAACATGTTTCGGGAATGCGGGAGGTTACCCGTAGAGAAAACACACAAGCATGGAGAGAATATCCGAACCCCACACAGAAAGATGTGCTACCCATTCCTCCTTGTGACACCCAATTTGAGCATGTTTTAATTTATACGATTCTTAGAAAGTTCTTCAGCACTGTAAATTGGATACAATTGCATCACACTCAACAATTATATGATTCTTTCATGAATTTGAATCTCCTCACTTTTTGTCGAATTAGCATCTGCAATTTCTTACTGCATATACCTTAAAAATGGATAACATTTGACTGATGTAAAGTGTTTGTTCTTTAGGAATTCTCTCTCAAAGGATGTTTGTCATGTTACCATGTGGAGGTGTCGGGGTAAGTTTCAAACACAGTTGCACTCAAATTGGACGTTCTCTGCGTTCATACAAAAAAACAAAACATTCTGTTACCAAAAGGCTGCTTTTTAGGACTGGAACAAATGTTTGCTTGGCAACCCCTGATCGCTACGAATCAAAGCAACATGTCTCAGACTCAGGAATGAACAAGTACAGATTGTTTCTAATCTTGAGCCAGGTGGACAGTAATGCTATTTTTCCATGAAAGACCAAAAAAATTAATCTTGCCTTGAAATAAAATCCAAATAAAATAGTTGCTTTCAATGGGGTCCTTTCAAGGGCAACAAATGATGACCTCCGATTTTGAACGGTAGGTAGTCAGGTTAAAACTTTTGTAAAGTAATCTCCATTTCAGGAACGATTCACCTCTTTAGCCGCTTGGTATTGTCAACAGCCGACTGTTTCTACAAAACTTAGAGGCACATTTTCATCTGTTTTCAAGGATTGCACTTGACCTCAGAGGTTCGTTCCACTCTCCAGTATTTATTCTGACAGAATAATTTGCTTCTTGAGAAAAAAATTCGAGAAATAAAATTCAGCACAATTAACATAAAACATGACAGTTTATCTTTCCTGTTTAATTCCTCAACCTATAAAGAATCAACATTTATTCATGGACAATACCTCTTTTTTGCTCAACTGACTTGAGTACCGTACTTTCCGGACGAATAAGGATAACGATAAAAGACAGAGCGCAACAGCTCTGATCACAAGCTGCAATTGCAGATTGCTGAGCGCTAACAACTTCCGGTGACGCAGGTCACGCGTCACCGTAGTTTAAAGATTTACCTGTATATATATATATATATATATATATATATAGTCGCACTAAAGTATAAGTCGCATTATTGGGGGAAATGCATTTGGTAAAATCCAACACCACGAACAGACATGTCATCTTGAAAGGCAAATAAAAATACAGAACAACACGTTGAATAAGTGCACGATATGCTAACATTACATGACCCATAAGCAACGAACTGAGAATGTGCCTCGTATGTTCACGTAACATATTGAGTTAATTAGATAACTGTAGCATAAAGAACATGCTAACAAGTTTACCAAAAATCAGTGTCACTGCAAATCACTAAATCCAATGAAATCTTTATCCTCGGTGTCACTTTTAAACAACTCCACCAACTCCGGAGGTAGAAGATGCAGCACCTCCTCTTCTATGTCGCTCATGTCAGAGTCATCGTCAGTTGTTTTTATCAGTTACCGCCAATGTGGAAAGTATCAATACAGGCTTAGAGCGCCCTCTTGCGGTTGAATATGAAAATAACATATGAAATGATGTCACGTGTTAATCATTTCACACATAAATCGCACCCCCCCCAACCCCCCAGCCAAACTCTGAAAATATCTGTGATTTATAATCCGGAAAATACGGTATGTGTTTACTATATCTAAAAAGGGAAAACAGAGTTCACCACAGCTGCAAAGTACTGCAGAGGCTAGACAACCGACGTGCTTGAAATTCACCTTGGCAAGGCTGTAAAGAAGCCTGATGGATAGTCATGCATGAGCATTGATTTGTTATGTTATTGTCATTCGTGCTGCAGGTTGACAACGACACCATCTGGAATGAGTCGCACACGTCCACGGCGTCACGCATGGCCGCCGGCAGTGTTGTCGAGCTGGCTGTTAGAGTGGCCAAGGGTGAGCTCAAGGTGAGAATGTGTTTTTTGTTGTTGTTGTTATAATTATTATGCAAGTGAGCTGAATTTATAGAGTGCATTTCACACACAAGGGAACTCACCACACTTCACTTAATTTACAGTTCAACATTTCAAAGCATTTACAAACAAAAGAGTTGAAAACATTTTCAAAACAAATATGTTTGGAGGAGGGGGCATTGTTTTCATGACTTATTAGTTTAGTTTATGACTCCAAAGTCAAGATTTCATTCCATTCCAGTGCTCTTATGATGTAAATGCAGCCAAGAACCAGAACGAATGCTATCATCAAAAACTTTTTGCAGGTTTTATCAGTGGAAGCCAGTTTTCTCCACAAGGGGGTGAAAAGGGTGGCATATAAAAGTAAAAAACTGTTTTGCACAACATACTGAGAAGCACGCGCTGTGTGGATGTTTTTAAGAATTCATTTAACAATTGTTGTACTCATGGGGGGGGGGGGGACTGCAATTTATCATCGTATTCAAGCCCATCTTTTTTCGCTACGTAATATAAATAATATATCTCCATGAGCGGCAAAGGCTTGGGAGTGTTTGTTTCTTCATCAGCGTTCATTCAAGGTTGCCAACACTTATGGCAGACATTTTCAAACAGTTATTTAAACATGGCAAGATGTATTGTACGTTGGGATGTTGTGTCAAAAGTTTTATTTTATTGATGTATAGATACTCCGAAGTACTGAGATATATTAAAAATGAAATAAATATACTGGGGTAGGAAGTAAGCAAGCAAGCAAATGTCTCATTTAGAAAATACATTTTTCCATTCTGAATGGAAAATAATTTTGGAAGAAATAATTTATGAAACACTTATGACATACATTACCTTATACTTTTTTTTTTTTTATTTTTTGAGTGACAAGCTGATTCATGCTTTCTTTTCCAAACAGAATGGATTTGCCGTGGTCAGACCACCGGGTCACCATGCAGACCCCTCCAACCCAATGTAAGTTTGTGTGTCTTTTAATCCCCTGTTGTTAAGATAAACATCATAAAGATAGTCAAAGCTTTTCCATTCTGTTGTCCGCAACGTAACCGAAGCCGTCAATCGGTCTTTGCAGGGGTTTCTGCTACTTTAATTCAGTGGCGATTGCTGCCAAACAACTTCAACAGAAGCTCAGTCTCAGCAAAATCCTCATTGTTGATTGGGTAAGCCTATCACCTTTGCTTTATTGACCACTTCCTGGATTAATAGTGATGTTAAACACATTCTATATTGCCAGGATGTTCACCACGGTAACGGGACCCAAGAAATTTTCTACAGTGACCCAAGCGTCCTCTACATGTCGCTTCATCGCTATGATCATGGCAACTTCTTTCCTGGCAGCGGATCACCCACTGAGGTAGATGTCATATCTTGGCCGAATGTACAAGAATGCTTTCAATTCTGACGAAATCTTTTTTTTTTTTTGTTTCAGGTTGGCTTAGGTGCTGGGGAGGGCTTCAATGTGAATGTGGCATGGACAGGAGGACTGGACCCTCCCATGGGAGATGCAGAGTACCTTGCAGCATTCAGGTAGAATACTGACTGCTGCTTCTCTCAAAGATGACAATACATACGAACACGAGAAAAGAGAATACCGTATTTTCCGCACTATAAGGCGCTTGGGATTATAAGGCGCACCTTGAATCAGAGATGAAAGTCCTCCGGATTTTCCCGGAATTCCGGGTTTTTCAAAATTTTATGAAAATTTCTCCGGAGAATTGAGGAAAATTTGCATAAATTTAATCCGGATATTAGTTGACAACATTGAACGAAGACGCGTTGGAGTTCGTTGTATTGCTTTCACGAGCGTAGCCATATTGAGGCACTAACACTAGTAACAGTAAAGAGATTTTTGTTTGT